ACCCAATAACTGATTGGTTTCATTTCAGTCTGCAAGTTTGTGATACTCTGATTAAAAATAAAAATTTAAAAAAAAATAAAATTTTACAATATTTTTAATATATAGCAGACACCATTGTGTCTGTGATATATAAATAGATCACATAACTTATTTCTAGATTTTGTCAAATTCAGGTCAGAAACATATGAAGTACCAAATAACTTTAAATTATGTTTATACACATAAAAAAAATAAGTCTTACCTTTGCCGTTAAACCCCAGTTTGGAGCATCATCTTCATAAAGACTATTGGATTCCCGTGTAAGCTTAGCAGTGGATTGAAGAGATTTGATGTCCTTTGAGGAAAAAATAAATAAGTTGACTAAATAAAATATTCAAGACACATTAGCATCACTTAAGTAATAATTTCTCTATGCAGAAAATTAAACTGAAATGTGTTAATTGTAATATCAGCAAGCAATAAGGGACAAAATTTTGTTTATGTAATTTAAATGCCATGCCCCTTCAGGAAATAGGCAATCATGACTCTCCAGATTTCTTTTCATTATTTGCCTTCAATTCTTGGCAAAGATTGATTTCTCTTTGCTTTCTCCACAGTTGGTGGGTCAAGTTGGATTCATATTTTTGGCCCAGGTGTATTTATGCAAAAGTGAATTCAACAGACTAAACTGTCATTTGAACTGTACAGTTCTCAAATTCTGCACATGTCTATGTTATACATCCACTTATGTAATACCAGCAATTTATCTGAAATCTATATTACAATAGTCACTACATTTGGATCTGCTTATGTAATAACAGATTCAAATAAAGGGATCAGTAAAATACAGATGTAAAATAAATTGATGAATCCAAAAGAAATAGCTGTACCCATTACTATTATCAGAATATTTTACAAGGCTTTAAAAAAAAAAAAAAAAAAATTAAAAAGATAAGGAAAACTTACTTTTGCTTTTTTAAAGATATCAGCATCAACCTCAAGCAGAATTTTTATCAATTTCCTTTCACCATAAGACAAGTCTTCCAAGGGGAATTTAGTTTTACAATTTTGCAGTGTAGATTTCTGTAGAGTAAATTAAATGGAAAAAAAATAATTAACATGGAAGCAAATAGTATTTAATACCACTCAGAGTAAAATTACTGCTAATTCCATAGATGTTGCTCATTATAGGACAATGTTAAAAAGAGTTTTCCAATTCTTTGATCATTACAACAAATTTAACCCACTTCCCAAAATCAGAATATTGATTTTTGGAAATGGATCAGACAGTAAGTTAAATGGAAATTTTAATATAAAGTTAGGAGCTAAATATTTGAATCCCACCTGTTGTTACAGATAGGCCAGGACAAATATCAATCCAGAACATTTTATATAACGGGAAAAGATCCAAGCACCTCTTTTATTCCAACCACCGTGTTTTCATTAGAGTTACAACTTCAATAGGGTGCAAGGCATACTCTTATTTCATTCACAGGAACATAAACTAGACAACACAAGTTTTAAAGTTGTAAAATGCAATTTGATGAGATGTTTCAGAGAAACTGAACTCCAATCACATTTGGTAAAAATTAGAAATTGTTTGCATTAGAATTAATTCAGGGACAAAGTGTTGACAAAATTTATAGGTCTAGAGAAAATGGAATGCAGCAATACTGTGTTTACTTAAATACTGACTCCAGAAATGAATGGTTTCTTAAACTCATCAGTCCCAATAGCTGATATGAAAAACCATCTGGTTTCAAGAGTTATCCAGGTCCCCGTTTGAGCAGATACAAGATGTTAGTAACATTCATTTGCTCAAACATGTGACTATATCACTGGTGCTCTGTCTTCAAAGTCTGTTTGAAAGCAAGAGAAATTTAAGTTTCAGCTCCCCAGATAAACTAGCAACTACGCAAAAATAAAAAGGCTAAAAAATAAAGTTCTTTTACAAAGAAATGTGTGTTGCTATGGACCAAAAATCCTGCTGAGACTTATTACTGTTATTAAACATTAACCCGTGGTGACAGAATTTCTTCACCTCTCTAAGAGTATAGAGAAGAAAATAGAAGAGAAAAAAAAAAAAAAACACCCATTGTCAACTGTTATCTTAAACCCTGTGAAGATGGATCCATGTTTATCACCATTTATGACAGAAGTCTCTTTCAGCTTTTTCCATAAAACAGAAATCAAACTCGACGAAGTGACTTTGTAACTCCATTTGCCAATAAGAAAACCCAAGTGTGGACAGGTGATTAAAGTAATATAGAACAAGAACTAGAATTCTACAGAAACAATAATCACTTTTAGTATTAAATGAACTAAATGAGTGGGATATGAGTGGGACACTACTTCACAATTCCCTTTCCTTGTGAATTATAACTGGTATCGGTGCGTCACCAGATCCTGTTACTTTTGTTTCCCCTACCAAACTCATGCCTATTTGAAACTCAGGAAGTTATTTTCATGATCTATATCATATTAGCCACTTCCTTATAAGGAAACATTTGGTATAAATTAAATAAGGAGCCAGTTCTACTTTTTGGTTGAAATTTATTCAATTTTTCTCTTACAACAATTTTTCAGGAAGATAATTTTATCAAGTCTTAACTTATCACCCTTCTCAGTATTAATATGGGGGGTTCTTTTCAAACCTTTTGTTTGAAGTAGTGTGAAAATTCAACTTCTTTATGTCATTTTCTCTTTCTATCCACTTTATTTCTTTTGTTGTTGATAGGCCTCAAGTGGAGTGATTTCTGTCATTTGACAGTTCTTTGTGACTATGTAGCACCAGTACACAAGCTCCAAATGCCCTCACAAAGGGCCTTCAGGCTTTATTTGCTCAAAGCAATTTTTAAATATTGATCTGAAAATTGGCTTGGATATCTGTGAATAAGTATGCTGCCATAAAAGGCATCTTACATATGTCTTCATCTGATGAAACCTTTAAAAGAACATTAGTTTTCAGGTTAAGGTATAGGATCAATTCAGTGTTGAATGAAATCTGTTCTAAAGTGAAATGCCCTATGAAGTCATCTGACCCCGATTATACGTTGATTTGTCCTATTCTGCCCATTTGAAAAAATATTCTAAGTTAAGAGCGAGCAAGAGAGAGACACACACAGAGCGACACACACACACACACACACACACACACACAGAGCGAGAGAGAGAGAGAGAGAGAGAGAGAGACAAAGAATCAGGAAAAGTAAAGTTTTCATTATATTTTATCTGAAGAGTTCTCAAGTGCAGAAAAAAATATATACACTTACAGCACAATTAATTGTAACAAATTCTGTCAACTCAGGCAGAGTGATACTAATTGTGGCATTCAAAAGTGGGCTGGGTCCATTGTTATAAATCTCAAAATTATGTTCTACAAAGCTTGTTTCTTTTGAAACATAAAGCAGATTGGGCTCAGAAAATCTGAAAATAAAAGTCATGAAGACAAAAATAAGTTATAGTTAACATGGACAATACAGAAAAAAATGTTAAAGACAAGTCTTAGACCCTATGTCATGAGTGGTTTTGTGGTGTGGGAGAATCGAACATTTGTTGGTTGTCCCCAAAGTCAGAGAAATTAAGATATACAGTATATAAAAGGTATTATTTAACAATTTAAATTCTCTTCAACATATTATGTACCATGAACATCAGTCTGATTGGACTTTTCCTTAAACATCATGGCAGAAGTAGATAAAATAAACAACACCCCATAATAGTAGAATATGATACTTGGACTAATTCAAATTTTCCAGTTCTCTTACAACAATCAGTTGTGCCTGCAGAATAGATTACCAAGAACTAGAAACTAGCATCATGAAAAGAAAGACAAAAATATAGATCTTAGAATAAGATAAATGGTTCTTACCCATTGAAGGTAATGTCTGCTTTCATTACCAGAGGAATCCTTGTAACTGCTTGGTTGTCATCCAGATTTTTTTCTTCACTTTTTGTTGTCACAGAAGCATTAATTTTGATTTCATTTTCTTGCAAAGATCCAGCACTCATAAACACCAGAGTAAAGGTCACATTAGAATTTTTTGGAATCTGATTACCTAACGAGCATCTTACCAATTCTTCACTTGCTAAAGAACATTCAGATACAACAGTTTTTGTCACCTGCACATACTGCACATATCTGGGTAAAGTGAAGAGAGCAAATGAGTTGTAAGCACTCTCTCCACTGTTATATACAGACACAAATAACTGGAAGGTTTGCATTTTGCCATATGGTATATATTTGCTTTCACTTCTCATTGATAAATGCAGATCTGATGTGCACTTTTTATCTGGTCCACAGTCCAATTTGTAGTTCACCTAAAATAAACCAAAAGCAATCAAAATTTTAGTCTCCATGATTAAAAAAAAACTTATAATAATGATGATAATGATCTATATATATATATATATATATATATATATATTACAATACAGATTCATTTCTGTAGTTTACTGCTACCAGCAAGCAGAAATATTTCTTCTCCCAATGATGGCCATTTTGGCCGAAACTAGCCTGGGAATCTAAATGAAATAAAAAAAATGAAAGAATATTGATCTACAACCCAGTGTGTCTAAAGATTTTAATTTTTAATTGTTCAAAATATATATATATATATATATATATATATATATATATATATATATATATATGAGAGAGAGAGAGAGAGAGAGAGACACACACACAAGGAGGGTTCATTATTTGTACATTTCTGAGATTGGTTTTAACCAAGCAAAAAAAATTTAATGTCAAGAATACTTACTAATTTCTTATATTGATTTCCTTTCATTACAGGACATAATTTGGCACAATTTTTAAGGGTCCCATTACGTATCTTGTAGTCAAAGATAACTTCAATTGGACTGAAGATATTAGTTTTATCCTATAAAGATAAAAAAAAAAAAAAAAATACAAATTGGTGGCATCATTTTTACAGAGAAAATACAGACAGCAAATTACTTATCTTCAGCAAATGTCAACAGCATTTCTAAATTGTAGAAATATATACATGCCACCCACCCACAAAAAAAAAAAAAAAAAAAAAAAAAAAAAAAAAAAAAAAATCAAATTTATGTACATGAAAATACAAAAAAAAAAAAAAACAGGTAAAGAAAGAAAAATAGGAGTGCTGTTGATCAGTGAATTTTGAATTGAACCCTTTATTTAATCTAATGGAGGTAGATGGTTATAGTTCCACTAACAATGTTAAGAGATAACTAGTTCTCATTTAGTACTGTTCAGCCTGTTTTCACTGGGTTGAAGTACTACCAGGCCAAGGGATTGAACTAAATTACTATGTCACCAAATTCACAAACCAATGCTTTAATCCACTAGGCTATTGTCCTGAAGGTTACAATAGCAAGAATGTTGTCATAACATGAAGATCAATAGTCGCATGTAAATGATAACTCCTCATCCTAGAAACTCAGAAATTTACAAGTTTGCTTTCATAGTACAAAATATACTAAGGTATTTATTTGATGCCTTGAAGTAACAATGAAATTCAAATTTTTTCAGCATAAATCTATGACAATATGGTTGGGATATCCCCATCGAAGGGGAAGGTAATGTTTTATCTCAAGCATTTGCTTTATAGATAGCTTTTAAGAAAAAAATAAAATCATGCTTAAAATCAGGGTGGAGGAGCCAGTTCTAGCCCACTCTTGGCAAGGGACAGACTTTTCAGTTGTGCAGTTCCAATGCCACTTGTTCATATTGCCAGCTATACATAGATGAGTAGGGGGTTGTAATTGTCGGAGAGAAGAGACGAGCTGTTAGATTGACATAACAGAAATTATCCCAAGTGTCACTAATTTGACAAACAAGTGATGCCCCAAAAAAAAAATACCTATTTTATAATATAAGAAACAGGGTTTGCATTCTCAATTCTTGATGACATGGCATTTTTTTTTTTTATCTCCCTTACTTAACAAGCATGCACTGGACCCTTTCCCAGCTTAGTGCTTTTAAAGAATCAAAATATAATATGGGGTAATCCTTGACCAGTTGGAAGGCTGGGTGAGGGTTGCATTACATGCAATAACGTAAAATAAATAAAATATATTTTACCTTTATCAAAAAATTAAAGTTCAATTTGGTAGGGGTATCCTGTGATAGTTGAAAAGTAATGTCTTTTGACGCTCCATATTTGGAACCAGACTTGATAAGCACACGATGTGAACTACTTGATGTAGTGTTTGATGAAGAAACCTCAGTGTATAACTTGCCTTCCAAATCTACAAATAAATTTAAATATATTTAATATATAAACAGAATCCAATCATTTTGATAGAAGTTCATTTCATATTATCTACTTACCTAGTTTGGGTGGAAAATAGGAATAAAGCTTTTGATATGATACTGTTAGCTCCAAATCCAAGCAAATTGACTTAGAGTTAGGTAGAGGACAATTGTAAGTGTTCACATCTATTCTCTCTGGTGTAGTGGTTGCCTTGAAAACTAAATCTAAAACAGGTCGCGACTTCAACAAGCGAACTTGACTTGATAAATAAGAGCCAACCAGAAAATCTGTAATGATAAAAAAAGTGAAATATTTTACTAGTGTTAATTTCTTACCTCTCTGCATGTGTTTTATATTATTATAATAATTTTATCTATTAACTTTACTTCTATATAAAAAAATAAAATAAAAAAGCCAATTCATTAGGAATAGTTCCTAATAAATCTAAGAGACCTAATAAAAATACAATCAGATTTTAACAAAAAGAACTAGAAACTATGAAGCTGTATATTTATTGCCAAAAGAAACAATACAAGCATTTTGAGCAAAGCTTCATGTTCAGAGTATCCTTACATCAGATAGTTTCCAAACTGAAACTGCAACACTAACCCATAGTTCTCCAGATTAAATCAACACCCATAATTTTATTGATATATACCAGGTCATCAGTAAGCAATCTGTTTGCAATAGACTGATTTCTCCCCAATCCTACACAATGCTTAACAGTACACTACATTAGATATTATTATACAAGTTAATGTTTTCATGAACTGGTGAAAGTTCAGGATATATTTATATAAACCAGATATGTGTATGACAAAGTGGAGAGGAGGGTGGAATTAAAAATTCCCAGCATCTCTTGTTCATGTGCAAGTGAAGTTGTACCACAAATAAATTTAGTCCAATAAAGCCCTAAAGGATGAAACATGTCACATGAAAACCTTTCCACTTTGTCATATCTTTCCTACAAAATTGTTCTTGATATAATTTTTTGTCATTATCTCATAAACAAGATACATCTTTATCTCCACATATAAAACCTTAAAATTAAAATATATACAGGGTGACTGAAAAGTAACTTCCTAGTTCATTTATGATGGACTCTCCTATCGAACTATAATTTTTACAAGACAGAGAGTCTATCATACATAAAATAGGGAGTTACTTTTCAATTACCTTTGATAAAAAAAATAAAAATAAAAATAAAATATATATATATATATATATATATATATATATATATATATATATATATATATATATATGTGTGTGTGTGTGTGTGTGTAGTGTTGTATAATATCTTATACAAAGTTATTGTAAATAACCAATAAATTTGGTTACAGTCTTAAAATAAAGAAATGCATTTTCATTAATGTATCAAACTAAAACAGCTTGCCAGCCTAGGGAACTCTAAATAAGGATTCCCGGAGGCAGAATCTATGTAATATTATTTCCTTTAATCTCTTTTAGAAAGGTAAATTTCACAAGACAAACAGAATATATTTTCATAACAAGCTTAATCAAAAAACTAAGTTAATTTAAATTCTCAAATTTATTGACAAGGCAAAAAACTCATTCATAAAAAGGTTTTCATTTTCAGCCATTAAAAAAAAAAAAAAAAAAATACAAAACATTCTACACTACCTGAAACAAAAGGTTAGAATAAAGATTCCATCAATACTAGAAAAAGCTATAATAAATTTGAGAAGCTTATTTTCCTGAAAAACTTAAGAGAAATATTTTATAAAATTTCAATCAACAATAATGCTAACATTTTACTCAATGAATGACAATTGTTTCTTGCTAATCTCACTATAGAGTAATTGACCTTGTTTAAATGTAATTGGCAGAGATGCCCAACAGAATTAACAATTTTTACAATAAACAATATCAAGAGAATGAAAAATACAGGGCAAAAATAATATTAATCAAGCAATATGCCAGACAAAGCAACAGTAATTAGGCAAAAAGTTCAAACTCAGAATGGTGCTAACACACAAAAGGGGATACAGACAAGCATTGCAGCGTTCTGGCTAAGACAAGAACAAACCAAACTAAGATGAGACCAAGAAATGGGCTCTCTTATTGGCTAGGAAGAAATCTCACCATGCATCTGTAGATTTTGTCTATATATTGGGGGAGGGGAGTGTTTTTGTTGTTGTTCCTGCAATTGGAACCGACATTCACAATTACTATAAGCATTTTACATGAACTTATTAACCATAAATTGAAGGGATTTTAAAACCATTTAAAAAAAAATAAATAATATATATATATATATATATATATATATATATATATATATATATATATATATATATATATATATATATATATAATATTTATTTAAAAATATGATTCAAATCGCTACATAAGAGGTCTCTTATGTAGCGATTTGGAATCATATTTTTAAATAAATAATTATATTTATGCTCTACTTTTGTATCGAGCACTATTTTTAAAAAATAATAACTCAAATACTAAGGGACTTTTGATTTTTTACCTAACCAGTTCCTTCCTATTTTCTATATATTTTCACATACATACATATATATATATATATATATATATATATATATATGGTGGTCAAAAGAAAAGTAGGTCTCATTATGAGATCTATTTGTACACCTTCCATTATATTTATCTAATTCTTAATATCGTGTTTTTTGGGGATCTTTTTAACATTGTTAAAGTTAACAGAACTAAAGATATCCTCAATGAAAACAAAATTCTTCAAATTAATTCCTTATCTGTATTTATTTCACATAAGCATGAGGCAAAGAGTTTACCTGGATAAAAATCATCATTAATATCCACAGCACGGGATACAGATATTCCAAATCCTTTCATTTCCTGACCATGAGAAACACTCTCACCAGATATTTTTTGAGAGAAATTTGCTGGAAACCCATTAGGACCCAGATTGTAAATATAAATTGCACCTTCCCGATTTCTTTCATAAGGAGCACCAATTACAATATCTGTAAAGAAAAAAAAAATTTCAAAGAAAGCAGATAAGTTATTATTCAGGTTATATTCAATAGAATTTTAACTTATGGGTGTATATTTTTCTTACAAGTTTACAAAAGAACTACATAACATTTTATATTCCTTATCACTTTTAAAATAAAATAAAATAAAAAAAAAAAAATAAAAAAATGTTTAAGATATAGTATTCAACTAATTTTATTGAAGTCCATTATAACCTAACATGAGCTAGCAATACTTATCACTCAAAAAGAGTTCTTTTTATGGTAGTCTTAAACAGCTATAATAAAATCAAATTTAAACTATCTCCTCAAGACTAATATTACAGATATCTGGGGAAAAAGAAAAAAAAAAGCTTACCATGAAAACCATCCTTATCAATATCACCAACATCTTTAATAGTCGTGCCAAACTGCCCTCTTTCCATTTCCATTCCCCAAATAGTTTGACTGTAAGTTAATTTCTAAAAATAGAAAAAAATATTAACATTCAGAAATCATTTACCATGACCACACAAACAAAATCACTCTTCTGTTTAATAGGTAAGCATAAGAAAAAAAAATATGTTTTAAACTAAACTTAAATGCAGACTTCAGTGTCCTCCATTTTATATAATTTCCTAATCTATATCATTATTTTCAAATGGTAATTATTAAAATATCACTAGTATACCATTACAGCTGAAGTAGTATGCAGACAGGTCAAGGTAAATAATTATAGGCAATAACTGAAGTTATCTTTCTTGGACAGACTGTCTTTGTTAAATTATACTGGTTTGTGGGGGCAGGGAGTAGTTTAACTGAAGCAGAAATTTACTACAATGTGCTGTGTCATGGTAAGAATCACTACAAATGAAATCATAGCTATGACTAATGTGTAAGCGCAGGATCAAAGATTTGATCTAATTCTGATTGCCAGTCAAAAGGGAAACTTCAATGACATAATATTAATAGAGTACAAACAGATGACTTAGTTGAAAAGTTCAGGTTTGTTAACAAGCAGTTCAGCTGACAGGTGTTACTGGAAATCATCCCGATTACAAATTTCAGTGAGCTGTTTTGTAAACAAGGAATTTGTGGGAGAGGGGATCATCAATGAAGCTAAATTGGAAGCTTTCATTTAAAGATTACTGTGATTTGTGCAATGGCACAAATGATTATAATAAAGTTTAGTAATAATAATTTACAAATGATGATATAAATTTTATAAAGTGGAAAGGATATAAAGTAGAGGACTCTGAAGCTGAAGCACTTATTCAAACACCAATCTGAAGCCTAACACTTCAAACAAATACACTTAGCACACAGATAGACAAAGAATAGGTATTTTCTAACTGCAGGTAATGGTATGATTAACCATTCCTTTATAAGGAAACATTCAGCATTTGTTGACCAAGCAGTTAGTATTACTATATATATATATATATATATATATATATATATATATATATATATATATATATATATAGATGTATTTATTTAGTACATTTATTGGTTTGTTTTCTTCTATTATTCCAAAAAAACCCATTCTTGGCTGCAAGTAGGAAGATCACTACAACTATGCATACCTAATTTATAACTTCGAATAGCCCAAGTGAAGTCTTGATTGGTTGTTGTTTGCTGGGGCAACTTATATAATTCACGTCCTAAAGCTAGTGGCAAATTTTTGTTCTAGGTGCGGGATGAATACTGATCATATTCGGTCGGGTTGCCCATCGAAGAAGTCCGTTATTTATTTAGACCCGAAACTTCTAGTGACATGGGAGCAACAACACTGAAGACACATCTGGATTCAGCACTTAAAGGTGTATTTTAATAATAATAACTATCAACTGAAATTTATAAAATCTTTTCAATTTTTCAGGAAGATGAGTTTCAACTTCACTAATTGTTATCAATCTCTAGTATTGATGGAGAGGTTTCCTTCCTAGCTTTTTTTTTTTTTTTTTTTAGCACGGGAAGTAAGCACTTTGATTATGTCATTTTCTCGTCAAGTTATGTGCTATTACTTTAATTGTTGCTGCTGCTGCAGTGATGCAGTCTTTGCTGTTTGGTAAATTTCTTTGTGATTCTGTAGTGCCAGTCTACTAGATCCAGTGAAGGACAGTCCTCCTAAAGACATAGAATTCATTTGCTTGAAGCCATTTTTTAAATCATTGATCTGAGAAAACAGTTGTATATTGATGATAGTTTAGACATTTCTGAACAAGGTGGACGTCATGAATGGCATCTATCTGACGAGGTTATTTAAGTGAAAAACATTTGTTTTTAAGTTAATATTTTGGTTTTGTAGCATCTTTGTATTTAGTAAAACTACCCCACCTCACACAGTCTATTATATGTTCAATTTCCTTATCTCTTATAGTAAATTTGTTACAACTGATCCATACATCTATATTTAAAATTTTTAGCATTTATTAATTCTACAGTCTGGATTTTTATAGATTCAGGGTATGTGCCTTCACCACTTTCATTCCAATTCCAGATCATGGTTTTAGTTTTGGAAAAGTCTTTTCTTGGAACACTTGGTAAAAAAAAATGTTTTTTATTGTTTTAAGGCTAAGTAAGATGTAATATATTTACAATAAAAAACAGGATACAACTTACCTGACCATCACTGAGATAAAGCATAACAGCTCCTCCTTCTAAAGTCTTTAGGGAATACAGAGGTGCTCCCACAAGCAGATCATCATAACCATCATTATTAATATCGGTAACGCATAACGAAGCACCAAAATAGGCACCAATCTTCAAGTGGAAAAGTGGCAGATGAAGAAGAAAAAAAAAAATATAAACGATCAGACAAATACATATTCTGTACTAAATTACTTCATTTTTCAAATATTAGAAATTTTAGAAAGTAACATGGTTTGGAAAGCTCTTGGCAAGATGAACTTGCCATTATTTTTATTTTTTTTTAATTTTTAAATTTTAATCATTTCACACCATTTACATTTAAATTCTTGATCATAGTCGACAGGAAGCCAGAAGAGTTCCACAAGTGAGAAGTGTGAGAAAAACTATTAGCATAGGATGTAAGGTTATAACTAGTAATTTCAACAGCAAAATTACCAGAACTACCAATCTAGTACAGTGCTTAAATTTATGAATTTAAGACACAAACAAGGAAAGCTCATCAGAACAATTACTATGAAAATATAGGAGAGGCAAAAAGGAAGATGTGTTATGGCAATGGGAAAGTGACTGAAACAGATGCCAGATCAAGACCAATAACACTGGCAATTTTTAAAATTATGTCAGATTCTTGCAACTAGTCATTCAAAAGAAATGAGAATTTGAGTCTTGCTAGAGAATTATTCTTTACTTTCAATTCACAATGAATTATGTTCAGAGTTGCACTAAAAAGTTGAAATTAGGTGACAAAATACTAATGGAAAAACTGAGCAAAACTTGAACATTCTTTGTCATTGCACACATTAATGCCCCCCACCAACCCAACATCCAATTCACACAAGTTCAAAGAACATGAACTATGAATATGGCACAAAGTCAGTAATTAAACAACTAAAGAGGTAACTAATTACATTTGTGAGACATTATATAGTTTAACTTGAAATTTTACAAGTCCCAAACAGTAAACTATTCCTGCTTCACAACATAAATAGTTTTTAAACTCCACTCCCAACAGTTAGTCAAGTTACATTTGGCTTGAGTGTTAACGTCTCTTGATTCATGACAGACTTGGAAGACTTCCTGCAGTAGGCTGCTGTTACTTTATGCAATAATCTGGTTACCAACCAAGGCTATAGGACTCAGTCTGTCCTGAACTGAGAAAAAAAAAAAAAAAAAAAAAAGAAAAAGAAAGAGATGGATTCATACTTTTCCAAGTAAAGGAAGCATACTTGACTGGGATTTCAACTTAGCTCTTCAATTTCTCTTAAGTTATTATTATGCCACATAGCACATCTAGTTTTTAATATGCTCATCCCAATAAGCACCAGCCAGAGCAGTTTAAAATTAATATGAACTCAAGACCACCAGGGCAATATCTCTTCTTCAGGGGGACATTAACCATCATCTGAGATGTCCCCCAAAAGAGGAATTGTTGAAGGAGCTTGAGCAATTTTTGAATATCTTGCCACTTTAAACCTCAACCTTGTGTCCATGCAGATAAATATCTACTCCCCAAAAAAAAAAAAAAAAAAAAAAAAAAAAAAAAACCCTTTTTGCAAATCCATTCTATCTACACATTTTCCATTATCAACTTTGACCATTGTATACACTTGAGCACCAAAATAGCATCATACAAAAATGAGCATATTAGCATTTTGTTGAAGAGATATGAACATATAAATCCTTACCTTACGTGTATGGGAGAGTTCTTGCCTCACAGCATTCTTTTTACTGACAATGTATACCTGAGGAATAATTTTTTTTGTTTAATATAGATAAGAAATATATCAGCCTTACAAAAAATAAAAATAAACATAAATAAAAAAAATATATATATATATATATATATATATATATATATATATATATACACACACACACAAAAAGTTTATTATAGAAACATTAAAAAAAACTGGCTATTGTTTTTGTCGCATTGAACTTACTAGATTCCACCAATGTGATAAGATGATAAATTTAAATTCAATTATGATTTGGAGATTTCAGGAGACACAGAACAAGTGATAAGTCAGATTTAAAAACTTAGGCTTGATTCCAGTTGTGTAAGACAAGAGTGTTACCAGATAGTAGATATTATCAGGGAACTCAATTTTAACCAAATTACAGAAACATTTTGAAGCATTATATATATAACTTTCACTTCAAAAATCCATTTTTGTCAACTTAAGTTCATATATATGATTTTCAAGACATTAAGTGGGCCTGTTGAAGTGCATTATGTACAGCTAAATCAAAAATGAATTTGATAATTATATGACATTATGCACGAACACAGGTATCAATTCTTACACCTGTAATCAGTAGTGGTGATCTGTGTGGTCACAGCAGAGTACAAATTGGCAAATTTGTTAATTCTTTGGGTCCATGGATTTGTAGAGTGATAAAGATTCAAGAGCTTGTCTCTTTTCTGCAACCATGTTTATTATAAGGATATGAATAGAGGCTTGTAGTATTCCATTATACAAATACAGTACAGGAATATCCCTCATTAGCTAAAAATTTTACTGAATGTGCCATGATATTTTTCATTTGCACTTTGCCATTGTTTAAAAAGTTTGAGAAACACTCGTCCAATTCCTTATCCTCAACATGTTCCTTAAACACTGATAAACCTTTTACAATTAACCAAATTCACAAGAATCAAATGCCCTTAATGACACTTCCTATAAATTTATTGTAAAATTAATTGAATAGCATAAAATATCTTCATTAGCTAATGTGTAAAGTTGGTCAATCTAAGAAACCATTAATCAAGTCAATCCCAAGAGGGAAGATTTGGTGAATTTTAGTTGCGTTGGATTCAATTGATCTTGTTAAATTAAACTATATTCAACTCTTACTGGTTTCATTTCTATCATTCACTTATGGGTTCTAATTAAGATTTTTCTCATCTACTTTAATTCATTTTAAAATGCTACAAGTCTCCCAAAAGTGTGGTTTCATATAGAAACAGGAACCAAACTCAATTAAAATTATTATATTTTAAAGAAGACATCAAGCATGTACAAAAAAAATAGAGAATTCTTTATATACCTAATTCAACCAATAAAATTTCATCTCAAAACAAGAGATACTTACTATACCAGTATCATTATATCGAGGTGCTCCTATTACATAATATTCAAGTTTGTCACTGAAGAAGATTCCTGAATTTACAGAATAACCTGTGAATGAAAGAAAATATCTTGGATATAATTGAACTAATCTGTACCAATAGATTTGTATTTAACAAAATGTAGAGAAAGTTAATTAGTAAAGCCTACTTCATTGTCCTTTTTCAAGAGAATCAAAGATTGCAAAAGAATTTATATTTAAGCCTTATACCACCACCACAAAAAGATATTGGATCTACATTCCTGAAGAGAAAGAGAAAAGTTTTTCACATGACACTTCATTTATCTTAACTACTTTCACTCTTCAATGTTCATTTTAAAAAGTGATGATTAGAACTGTAATTAAACCTAAAATACATGAACATTTACTTTGTTTATTTACATTACTTATTATATTGTTTATTGGAATGGTTGGTAAAACAGTGGCTAATTGCCAATTGATTCAAACATTATATAATGGTAAATAAGGATTTCCTTATAGTTGGTTCACATTTTAATAATTTAGTAAATGTTTATAAATTTATGAATAAAGAAATGGCTTTTCTATTTATTCCTTCATAAAATGGCAAAACGAAATGAACATTGAGGTCAACACCTGGCAGCAACAGTATTTCATGCTTAAATGTAATTGTCAACATTAAACATTGTGTTTAAACATGAAACAGACCTGCTGCTGAGTGTTGACCTCAATGTCCACTTTTATATTTACATACACTATTCCTGATATTGATCACTTTACCTCAAAATATAAACCTACTTTAAAACTATATTTTTATCATAAATAGGTAAATAAATATTACATTGCATTAATTTTTAGAATTTTGAAAATATAAAGTTATTCTTGTAAATAAACAATCTAATAGTGTTTAAGTACATGTACACACACAAAAAAGTATAAATTTCATCATAGATTTAGGTTTTAATTCTAATCATTTTTTAAATAAATATTGTCAAAGAGTGAAATTAGTTAAAATAAAAGTAGTGACATGGAGTAAACAAAAAAATAAATTCACATCCTTTTCACTTTTTTTTGGCAAGCACAAACAGGTCTACATTTGCCAATATAATTTAAATTTTTTCTTTTTTTAAATTAAAAATAAAATGAAAGATAAAATGAAAGATTCAACCAACTTTTATTCATTTTTCACAATTGTTTTAATTATGGCTAGCTTCACAGGTCTCATTCAAAAATAACATTACAATTTGATCAGAGACAATACTTTTTTCTGGCTATATTAATATTCTATATATAATATAGTATCCCCAGCCATATTATGTGAAGGAATAGTCAAGAGTTTTCAACCTGACCCACTTACCAAAATCTGACCTAATATCAAACTTTATTTTAGAATCCTTTAGAACTTTTCAGCATCCCTTTATAGTTATTAAAAAAAAAAAAAAAAAAAAAAAAAAAAAAAGCCACATACACACAACACCATCAATTGGTAATTGTCTACTTAACATTACCTAAATCTGTTCCATTTACATGTAGAAATTTGAAATCAATATCTATATAATACTGTGTGTGCCTCAAAATTCAGTTTAGTGGATACACAATATAGTACCTTGAACCTACCAAGTGTAGTGCCAAATTTCATTAAAATTAGACAAGGGGTTCTTTGAGCTAGGGCCATTTTTCTGTTTTCACAGCATTTTTAATAGCAAGTTCAGTATTTACACATTCGTATAACAATTTTACTTTAATATCAAAAGATGCACAACTGTAATCAAAGTTCCCTTTCCAAATCCCTTTAAACATGCTAGCATTTTAAAAGATGAGGATACAGTTCCAAATAAAGTTATCAAACAGAATCTCTTATTCCAATGTGTATGGATTCAAAAGTAGAAAGTAAATGTTTAAGAGAAAAGTCTAAACACACAACAGCAAGACAAACACTTACCTGCGTAACTATTACTTTTTGCAGTCACGTTGTAAACATGTTCAGTTTGGAAATCAGTAGTTTTAAAAGTTATAAGAGCACCTGAAATGAAATAAATACCATAGAATTGAAAATAGATAAGCTAACAAAGATATGGATTTTCATCAAAATTCCATTAACTACGAGACTACATTAGTTACACACAACATTCAATGTTACACTTACCAGCCAATTCATTATACCCAGGTGCACCAAGAATTATTTCCGATCCACTCTACAAATAAAGTTTTAGAATTAAAGTCTTTCATTATAACAAAAAAAAAAACGTTAAACAGCCATTATCTTTTTTTCAATTGCTTTTAAATCAAAACTTTATGATGTGAGTAAACAGCAAAGAAATTCTCAGAGAGATTAACTTATCAGTTTTGTCTTAGAGAAGCCCAATTTAGTATGTCAGCTGCTTTAACCAAGTACAATCACTTAAGTTAAACAACATTGAATGTAGTCAGTAACTAAATGGGTGACTGCATATGAAGACCAGGTGCTGTAAGCTTAGATGCGTGGCTAGTGTAATGTATAATGACTGCATTATTAATTGGAGAACCGGATTCCAATTTCCTCATTGGTTTTGTTATACTAATTTACATTCAAGGTCAAGTCACTTTTTTTGATTACTTCAACCAACACTTATCCACTGGGGCATGTGCCAATACCTGGCAATTGGCTGAAACAGATATCCAGAAGTGGCATGGCACACAGAACTGGAAAATCTACTCCCAATGTGTGTGTGTGTGGGGGGGGAGATATATGGGGTTAGATTTAAAATTCCCACATATATCAACTGAAGAAGGCTGGAGCATGCAACAGCCAAAATGTTGTGAATATGACAAAGATGAGGACAACAGTCTGAATAATGTAAATAGTTACAACACCTCATCTCAGACATATAGACAGATGTTACCCTTGGAATGGTATAAATCCACTTCTAAATAGAAGAGTCTTCAGTATACTTCAACCAGAATGTGAATAATACAGATTTCTCAATTCGATGCCTCAAAGAAAAAAAAAAAAAAAAAAAAAAAAAAAAACTTGAGTGTTAAGGTTCCCTTTGTAAAATTATTTGCCTTAAAAGCATTTTTAGAAATTTAGAAAAAAGTTTGCATGGTTATATTACGAAAACACCAAACAACGAAAAACAAGAACACTTCAGGCTCAGTTGTCATTAGCTGTATTTTGCCAACAGCCTTCACCCGACGTTTTAATTACACTCTACACATAAGAGTATAGATTTTGTTTTTCACATCACAATCTCACACATGCAATACTCTCTAAATGAACAAATCATTTTTTCTTTTGTGTGCAAAAAAAACATTTATTAATCTTGGTTGCATTTTTTCCTAAACACAATTCTAAGAGAGCCAACTGAATGAGATGAGGAACTTTATCATTTCTTTCAGCTTAAAAAAAAAAAAAAATAAATAAATAAAAAAAATTAAATAAATACTCAAAATTATTTGAATTTGCAGAGACGTGTTTGAAAATTATTTTCCTTCACACACTGTAACAGTAAAATTGTCCAAATCCTGTAAAAACAAAATATCCTATTTGTTATATTAAGCTTTGGGTCATATCTTAGAAATGATTAAGGCACCTCAAGGTGATGTAATGGTTAGCAAGCTTTTGTCACCAGAACAATTATGAGCGAGTTCGATCCTCACTAATTTTAGCCTGGTGCCACATCTAAGCTATGCTCAGAAAAAAAAAAAAAAAAAAAAAAAGTCACTATATCTTAGAAATGATTAAAGATATCCTCCAAGGTTTTTATAACACTATTGGACTACTTTGAGCAATAAAAATGTATAATTACTCTCCAAGCTTAACAAAAGAATAGTGATAAGATAAATTATAAATGAAAATGACATGTTCATCATTAAGTAAGCATACTTATGGATCAGAAGCTCATGAAGAATTGAAATTAAATTATAAATTTAATTATATATATGTTCTCCAATTTATTCAAGATAATCTTTGTCTCCTCTAACCCTCTGACTTTCTGTCCTGGAGTAACAAGGTTCCTCAGGTTTCACATACGATTTCAAGTCTTTTTTTTCATTGCTCTTTGGATTGTCATAGGTGAAACTCCTCTCCCATGTGTCAAATGTCTTATGGATAGAGTTGGATCTTTTCTAATTGATCTCTTTAGCTCTAAGTTGAAGTGAAGATCCCTCTTCCTGTTGTGACCTTCAGATCCAGTTACTTTTCCCTTTTTTTTTTTTTTTTTTACTTATTCCCCATTCACTTGGTTCTTGAATGGGCTTTAAAGATGGAAGCCAGAGTATGAATGTTGGTACTATTACTGAAAACCCGAATGATCTTTCTTCCTATCACCATTGCTCATTTGGCAGTGGAGGCTGACACAAAATGATTTTAACCTGTTCTCTTTCCAGCTGAGTAACTCAGAGGGTTTTTCAGTGATTGTTATGACAAAAGTGGTTATTTAGATATTAAACATCTTGTGGGATGGACAATTATGCTGTTACACACTGTGTGTGTGTGTGTCTCAGTTAATGACACTCTAATGAAGTCTACTAGAAATTTCATCACATTCATGCTACTCTATATAAAGGGAGGTTGATACTTATTGTTAGATCCCCACTTCATTTGCATGTCCTCACACATGTAACAAAGAAGCTACCAAACATGCATACTATTTTTTTAATTGTAAATATTTACTCAGGGCCTAAGTGGTTTCTAACGAGAGGAGTACAATTATAGTCTTAGGATCACACTGTGTAGAATTAAATATTTCTAAGTACAATATTCTTACTCAAAACATTGAAATTACATACCTTTGAGAACACTGCAGCTTTTCCCATACCTGCATTCCCTCCAACTTTTTGGGATTTCAACAATTTATATTGACTGTTTCCAATTTCATTCAAGTAACAGATTCCATGCATAGATACAGTTACAACCCTATGGTCATTTTTTGACCATTCCTTCCATCGATGTCCACAAGTCTACAATATAACATTTGCTTTAACTATACAAGATTAAAAAAATAAATAAAAAAATAAAAAATAAAATTAAAAAAATAAATAAATTTGAATAATTAAAAGAAATTTCAGCATTTTTCTAAATTAAAAACAAAGGATATATTACTAGAATTTTCGTATTGGCTTGATTCACACTGATGCTTCCACCAATCCATGCATCACTTGCATTCTGTACAGTGAGATCTGGCAGATTTTTAACTATGGAAAAAAAAAAAAAAAAAAAAAAAAAATTACATAAAGCTGGTATATACACCACATGTAATGAATCATTGCAGAAAATTCTAATCGGCCGAGAAATAATCATAACTTTGAGGTGGATGCAGGGCTCCAGATTACCCTCAGACACACTCAAAATCATGACCCCCACAATTTTAAATTGTCCTGATTTTTTTTTTTTTTTTTTTAGGACTGTTATATCATTAACAAAAAAAAAAAAAAAAAAAAAAAAAAAAAAAATTAAAATATTTAGGACATATTTAAATTAATACTTTTGGAAAATTACATTATATTTAAACAGTTCAATAAAATCCCCCCACAAATAAATTTTTTTTTTTACAGAAGTGTTAATTTTCATAGTCATTATTTTATTGTGCTATATACATTCTTCTCTATAAAGATGAACACATTCCAACTACCATATATGACAGCATATAAAAGGTGTACTTTTTTTTTTTTTTTTTACTGAAATATCTTAAAATTCCCCCGCATCTTATATACCATATGTAGGTTTAAAATTCATGATACTCCGACAAAATTAGTTACCTGGCAATTCCTATTAGCTTAGACTTTAGAGTAACTTTCATATACCTATCGTCATGATTTAAAAGACTATTATGTAGATTAATGGTTTTATCATTGATAGTATTCATTATATTAATTTCATCATGTTTAATATTAGTACTTTGTTTCACTAAAATTATATGCAATAAATTCAAATTATATTTTTGTAAAATATTTGTTTCATTAATATTTTTATTGTGATAATTTCCAGTTGCATTGGTATAAACAGAAATCAGAATTTTTATATTCTAACTATTCCACTAAGACACTTACAAGACAGGTTGTACAGATCATATAAATAGGAAAATTTTTGACTGAATTTCACTCCTTCAAAGATGACAACGGCAAGAAAGAGTTTAAGCTACACTGTTGCGTACAAGCTTCATGTAATAAACTATGCTAAAGAGCATGGAAATAGAGCAGCTGCAAAATATTTTAGTCCTCTGCCCACAGAAAAAAAAAGTGATATGTTACTGGCAGTTGCAGGAAAATAACCTACAGGTAACAAAGAAAGGAAACTGTAAGCTTCACCACCCAGCTTCACACTGGCCTGAAATTGAAGAGGAAATTAAAACGTGGGTTGTATATGAGAGGAGTACAGGCAGAATCATTACTACAAAAATGACAAGGAATGAGGCTAGAAGATTAGCAAACGAAAAGTGGATTCAAAACTTTATAGGAACAGAAGGATGGTGTTATTTCATGAAATGGGAAGGTTTGTCAATGCGTACAGAAACATCAATTGCACAGAGAATGCCAGCTATGATGACAAAATAGTAAAGTTTCATAAATTTGTTATACATGCTCAAAAAAAAAAAAAAAAAAAAAAAAAAAAGAACTCCTGAACTAGACCAGATAGGAAATATGGATAAAGTCCCACTAACATTTGATGTTCCAAACAAAATGGAGTATTAAGGGATCCAAGACTATTACAATAAAAACTACAAACCATGAGAAGACATGCAGGTTACGCTAATGACACAAAACTGCCCTCTTTTCTGATTTTTAAGAGAAAATCTACACCAAAAAGATAAAATACCGAAAGGTGTGCATGTCCATGTTCACCCAAAAGGCTGGATGGATGAAGCTGGTCCATAGTTATGGTTAACAGTTGTATAGGAAAGATGTCCTGGTGGGCTACTACAAAAGCCTCTCTTCTGGTTCAGGAACAGTTCCAAGCACATAGGACTGAATCCATTAAAAAGAAAGTGGCAAAATTGAAGACAGAGACTGCGGATTAACAAATCAGTTACAATCTCTGGATGTGTCTTTGAATAGACCATTCAAATAGAATGTGAAGGAGCAATGGATGGCAATGCCTGACCAGGAAGAATAAAAAGACCCAGCATTGCACAAGTCTGTGAATGGGTGAAGCAAGCTTAGGATATTAAACCAGAAATTGTGAAAGCTTTTAAAGTGTGGCATTAGCAATGCTCTCAATGGAATGGATGCTTTATTTAATGATAATAGTACTGAAAATTAGAGTTGGTCAATCAGTTTCCAGTTTTCCTTGATACCATGGTTTTCAGTCTGGTTTTTAATCTAGTATTTTTGCTTTCTAAGGAAGCCATTCATTTTCTTGTGTTAATGATAGCATTTTCAGTCCATATCTTATTTCGTTTGAGAATATTTAATCCATTCAACTCACAATATCTCATGTATTTCTGGTCCAATCTTAAAAATATTCATATGGCTGGAAAGAAATTAATCATTTTAAGTATGTAGTCACTGATTTTTTTTCTTTTTACAGCGAGTTAAAACAGTACTGCTTCAACCAGCTGAAAATGAGAAGTTTTTTTGTTGTTTTTTTTTTTTTTTTAAGACTAAATTTTACACGTTACTGACTGTTTCGCAAAATCAAAGTGACCAATCTTTATCAATATGGTATACTCAGCTAGGAGACAACATGGAAGATGTTCATTTCTTCTGACCTGAGGAAGCGATTTCCTTCAAAAAATTATAAAGCAAATAAACAAATAAAAAATAAAATACAGTAATTCTTTTCTGGTACATATTGGAGTTTTTCAAATAAATTTCTTCTAAACATGGAAAATCAAAGTTATTTTTCCCCTAAATAAATTTGTTTTTATCTAGCAAATACACCTAAAATTAAATATTAAAATAATTAAAAGCTTTTAATCATTTTAATAATCTTAATTCACCAGATAAAACCATAAAGTAAAGATATTTGTAAAAATAAAATTAATTAATTTTCCTTGTTTTTAAGAATTTTATAAGCAGAACAGTAACACCCACCGACCACTAGTGGCTAAAAAAGAATTTTTACTTTGAATTTAAAAAATAACTTGCATTTTTGAAAATATACACATTTTAAAACCAAGATTAAAACTTTATTTTTTTAATATCTAATTTAAAGTATATTCGCTAGATAGAAACAATTTTATTTGTAGAAAACAAAGACTCGCATATCTGGAAATATACACATCTTAAAAGTGAAATTTAATTATTCTTAATTAATATCTAATTTAGGTGCATACCCTAGATAAAAAACAAATTTATTCATAAACAATCTTTATTTTTCTTGATTACAACAACTTTATTTAATGATTGGCGTAATGGCTTACTAGAAAACACAAAAAATCTGACTTCATAATATCTAACATTAAAACAAAATTGGAAACTATTTTTTATTTTAACTCACTATTTTTTGTTATTTTACAGCAAATTTTTTTTTTTTTTTTTTTTGAAAACTGAAACAAATAGATTTCACTTTCAGGCATCATGTCATATTTCCTCCCTCCCCCCTCGTTTTTGTAAACAAATAGATTTCACATTAATTTCCTGAAATTGGAGTGCATCTTGTACACCCGTGAGTTTTGTATGTCTCAAATACAGTATTTACTAAGTCTATATAAAAATAAAATTTGCAATTACCTCCCTTGCATCATGACAATTTTCCATTTTATTTTCTATTAGATTAAAAGCTAGCTAGAGAATAGGGGATTGATTTCAGGCAGCTTTTTGGGTGATGGCTCTTGAAATGAAGATATTGTTGGGCGTCTGTAGGTTCATGATAGATATATATGATTACGTAGTAGCTTTTATTTTTAATGAGTATACCTAAAAAATGGTAATTAATTAAAAATATATTCTTGAGTGAATTTGATTTTTGGGTGTTAAGTTCTGAAGTAGAATTGGTTGATATCACCCCATGAGGATTTCCAGAAAATGAAGCAATCATCTAAGTATCATTTCCAAGATTTAGTTATTTAAAAAAAAAAAAAAAAAAAAAAATGAAAAAGTTAATATTGATCTTTAAATCAATTCACTTAAAAGAGTAGGGGGGGTCTGACTAATTCTAGTAATTACAAAATCCTTTATATCAAACAAGATTAAATATTTGCCAATTGACTGAACAAACTAGAAGAAAAAATTCAGGAAACAACAGCCAAGTGCTTTAGTGATCACCTTGGGGAGGAGGGAGGATTTATTGATTATTATTCAACTTTTTGGATTATTCAAACACAAAAACATTCTGGATTTTAGAATTTTTTTGAATTTTTTTCTTTGGGTGAAGATTGTCTTAATGAATGGTTTTCTCCAGATACAAGACCTATTATTTAATTACTGAGGGAGTCAGGGATGGATTTCTCTTTCCCAAGAGTATTTACATGCAACAAACACAATTGGAATTAAAATTTGCGTCTCCAAATTAACATTCCACTGTGTGTGTGGGTATATATATATATATATATATATATATATAAAAACAACACACAAACAGAAGAGAATGCTACCATAATGAATACATTACTTTTGTTCAAAATTTTATGTACATGTTTATTTTATTCCAACAAAAAGTAACCTTTTTTATCAGGACATTTGCAACAGCAAATTATAGACCTTTGCAATCAGACAAATCAGGGTGATTGAAAACTCCATTTTGTATGATGGACTCTCCCACATAACTATAATTTTTGCAAGATGGGAGAATTATACATAAAATAGGGAGTTACTTTCAATTACTTTTTTTATTATTATTATTTACATACATATATACATACACACATCTCTTCCTCACCTCCAATGCAATTTCAAGTTTGTTTGTTTTTTTTTAAATTAGAGGAAAAAAAAAAAAATTAGGCTACAGGCATTTATTTCAGGTCTAACTTAAAGCAGATAATTTTTTAATAATCTTTGGAATATAGAAAATTAAAAAAAAAATCCTTACTTAATTTATTTACTCTGCTCGAAACACATGAACTGGGAGTTGGTTTGCAGGTATATAAAACACCAGTTTTATGAAATTTGGTGTTGTTGTAATTATCTTTGGGAGCTCCAATCAGGATTCTGAAAAATACAAATTAAAATGCATTTTTATACATAGTACAAGGTTCTAAATACAAGATATCAAATGAAAATTGTTATCCATTAATGAGTTTTATTTAATTCCAAAATAATCATATTAGTAAACAAAAACATTTGGGGAGATTGTTTTTACGTATAAAACGCAGTTAAAAATATGATTTTTTTAAAGCAAAGAAAATGACCAAAACTTGGAGAGGAGGGAGCGAAGTAATTTAGATTTTACTATTACACAAGAAGTAACAGAATTTTTTTTTTTAATTAGATTCTCATATATACTTCCCATATTTAAACTAATATATGAGAGCAGAGTAAAGTTCTTGAAAAGGAATAAGTCAGTTGTTTGGAACTTGCAAGAGAAGTGTTTTGGGTTTTTATCATTTCACCAAGTAAATGGTTAAGCTTGGAGAAAAATAAAACTGTAAACCTGAAGAAAACTAGTCAAATGCTGTTAAACTTCCTTGGTGGAGTATTGATAAAAATGAAAGACAAGAGAAATCTGATGGGACAGGATAAGTTGGATCAGTTGATTAAATTTTCATTGCAAACTGATGACAGAGTAAAAGAGATCAACAGGTTGAAGATTCAATACTAAGCTTTCCAGATTGAATTTTTGAACATATTACCAATTTAATGAATTATTGGTTATACCCCTTTGTTGCGAATGATGACAATACCTAACTCACCAACTGACAAGTTAGGTAGATGATGGCAACACAGAACTTAAATTTATAAATGTAACCCTCAATAAACAAGTTTGTTTCTTCATGTTAGAGTTACTTCTCCATTCTAAAAGTAGCTTTTCTTTTATTTCTCCTAAAACTCAAAACTGTTCCTGTGGAAGTGATAACCAGCTTTGCCAAAGATATTCTTAGATCAAAACTTAAATACAATGTGGGTGAAGAACATGAGAATATAGCCTCAGCATTAGAAATCCTAGGCATCTATGTAGACTGAATCACAAATGGTGCAAGACATTACCAGACAAGAAAGAGGTCTATTGAAAAACTTCATAATTAATTAAATGCTAAAATGGTATGGCATGCATCAAAAGTATCAAGAATCTTTCTACTACCATCCTATAAAGTGTCACACCTTAGGCAAAACAGGTAGACAAGAGAAAAATTGGCAGACGTCAATGAATGGCCTAGAAGATCCTTCACAGAGACTTAAACATTGGCATGCAACAGAGTTGTATGTGGGGAGCTGGTCATGTGCTCAGCTGTGCAGTGACTCTACAACCACACCCAGTCATTAGACTGAAGATAATGATAGGTGGAGAATATTTAGAGGTTACCAGACAACAGCCATCACCACATGTCTATCATTAACATGTACTCAAGTGAGATTTATGTTGTAGAAAAGTAGAGTCCTTATGACAATCACCTAATGGTAATAAAGTAACCTGTATAAAATTGTTCTGATTAAAACTTTCTCTTTTAACTTTGAAATGAAACATCTGCACTCTACATTGACAATTCAAAACTATTAAAACACAAAAAAATATTACAATTTTCGTTAGTAAAAATGCATGCCAGACAGCAAAATTTGTGAAGATTCTCATGGATGTTAATGTTCAATGGCCAGAAAACATGACCGTTTTAAAATCAAAAATTGCTTTTTTTTCACTGCAAATTATCCATATCATATCCAAGCAATTTACAAAAAAAAAAAAAAAAAAAAAAAAAAAAAAAAGGTACCAATTACACATTATTTCAAGCTTTCAATTTAGGTTTATAGTTAATAACCATGCAATGAGATGAGGTAACAGAAACCATAGATTTGTCTACAGAATATAATTACATTACTGTTACATAATTATAGTGAAATAATTAAGGTTTTTTGTCAAAACATTTTATTTTTGGTTGTATATTAATTTAAAGTATTCCATTTTACATTACAGGCTTTATTTTGGAAATGGAATAAGATCATTGTACATTTCAGAATTTCTATTGCCCATCAAAATGACCGGAAGAATGCAATCTAAAAACAATGGAAAAGAAAGGTAACAAAGCATAAATGAAAAATACCTAATAAATCAAATATAGCATCAACATTTATATTTGTTATGTAACTAAACTTGTCAACAATGTTTCCATAAATTCTTAAGTAAAATACAACAATAATATTTAAGTGTAAAGTAGTCCTACAGTCACAATTCCTTACAGCTAACCATGAAAGAAATATTGATCAGAACCATTAAGCATGTATTACCACAAAATTATCAAATGTTGAATACACCCCTCCTCTGCTGAAGGAGTTATATATAAAATTACTTAAACATAATACAACTATGATTTCATATCAAACATGACCCATAAGAAAAATAAAGGTGATACAAGACGTGAGCACTGTTCTATCAGTATTTACATCGAAAGCGTCCAAACAAGCTACATTCTTTAATTCTACCAATTTTGACCTTCACAGCTAAGACCTGCCATGCCATGCATATCGTAGTGAACCACTCCCATTTCACTGGAGAGATCCAAGTTACTTAAGCAGCTTCTTCCAACAAGCTGTTGCTTTGTGGAACCAACTTCCAAGAGGATTCTTCCCCCATAAACTGTCCCCTCTTACTCTATAACCCTCTATATCAAATGGCTCTTGGGTCTTGTACAGGGTGAACATTATAAAAAGGAAAAAAAAGAAAAAAAAAAAAAGTTATCTTTATAAAAAGCAGACACTGTACATAAACTAAAATAAGAGATAGTATAAAATTTATACAAGACTAGGATCATATCTTAAAAGCCAAGGGCATGCTGGTGGTGTAATTGGTCAACATCTCAAAATCTCAGCAAAACAAATTTTGATTCCAGTAGAGTTTCCTTCAATTTAGTTTCACAGAGTGACCCTTTGGAAAGGTATGAACCCATCTCTTCCCCTAAGTTTGGGTTAAATAGGATAGAGCTTTTCAGTCTTGGTTAGAAAACAGTCTATAAGAAGGACAATGCTGAATTCAGAACCTTATGTAACCCTTGATAAAACACATACTTTTTAGATAACAAAAACAAAGGAGTTTAAAAGACTATAAAAAGATCCTGACTGCAGTTTAAACCAATCAATAAAAGCTAAGATTCAGTTTCTTTAGTAATTTGGTTGTCTCAAATTATACTGCATGAATTTAAACTAATTTGACTCATTTTTGAAGCTTTCATTTTCAGTGTTTCTAAGTTCTTTATGTAATCAATCTACACTTTAAATAAAATCAATGTTACAAACTAACTTTGTATCCTAAACTGTAAAACTTAAGATTTTAAGCTTACCACAGCAGCCTTTTCTTCCTCAAATCCAAACAGTACCCTCAATATCGAACATCTGATGTTTGTTTTAGTAGTTGTACTGTCTGAATATCCATGAAGAGTGCTTTCCCTTTACTGTCTTCTCCACAGCTTTGAAATTCAGACTGGCTGATACCCAAAGCTAGAGGACCCAGTCTACACTTATTTAACCCATAGCTAGAAAGAGCTCTGAACCCACACTTAAGAATCTTCCTCTTTAATTTTTCTAAAGTCCAGAATAAGTTAAAACTATCCTATTATAGAATATGTAATATCTTTTTAAAAGAAGTTTAAAAAAAAAAAAAAAAGCTCAATAAATTGACCTGAATGAGGATAATGATAAATAGCTAATACAGTTGACAGATTGCAAGTGGTAACCAAACACTTTGGAAATTTTTTCTCTAATTATACTATATACAGATTTATATGCTCAACATTTAAGAGGAACACTGTGAATAAGACTAGTGTTTTGTGCCATTCCCACAAAAATTCTTTATCAAGAGAATTTTCTAGCTAACTACTTCATGCTGATCTCTGGGCAAGATACTTTATCCCAAATACAAGTAAACAAGAGAAAAATTGACCAATCAGAATCTTTTAGCCACATCATAAAATTATGTAAAATTGTAGAATAAAGAAATACACATCACAAACACATGAAAGCAATGACAAAGTTAAAATGATATCTATGACTTTCTGGTTCATCTTTTTACAAAAAGGTTCCTCTTATACAAGGCCAAGGGGCCACTCAAGGTAGAGGGTTAAGTTAAGGGGCAGTTTATATGGATAGGAGGGGTGAGAGAATTCTTGGGAATCTGTTCCACACAGGAAGAAGCTGTTCCAGTGGGACTTCTCATGGAGGGAATGCGTGTGGTTTGGTATAATGTAAGTGGCATGGCAGGCCCTAGCCATGAAGGTTAGGCCTAGCAGAACATAAAAAAAAAAAAAAAAAAAAAAAACCCTCAATATTGACAGTGAATATTTCCTTTCCACGTATCAATCTGTTTTAAACACATTTCTTTAACCCTTTAGCATTCAACATGCTCAAGCTAACTCTGTAAATATTGCATCTCCAAAGCCTCACTTTTTTTGCATGACTTCCTACATTATTTGTGATGTCATACTATGGCAGAGTATACATGGGACAGGTTACGGCAGCTTGAACATTGAGAACCCATATTTACAGGGTGGGTTGGGGGCATGTTAAATACTAAAAGGTTAAACTTAGAGATAAACAACAAGGAAAAAATATGTTCAAAAATACCTACAAGTCATGCAGTGAAAAAAAAAAAAAAAAATTTTTAAATTGGGATGAAAGTATCATTTCATAATATCAAGACTAATTGTCTTGAGACTGGCCAACCAAATCTATATTAAACAAAACAAAGATGGCACAGATTTCAATCACCTGTTAGTAAAGCTGGTAACTGTATTTCTTTGTTGGGTGGGGGGGTGTTAGATACAGTAGAAACAATGTCATTTCACAGATGTTAAAGAAATCAAAATGATTGAAAATTTCTGTAAAATCTATTAGTCTTTCATCATGAAATCAAAAGTAAATGAAAGCCAGCAAATCATACACTAAAGTAAAACTAATAAAAATAAAAAAAAGTAAAAAAAATGAGCAAAATTAAAATAATCACTTTTTACGAAAGACCTCAAAGAAGAATTTTGAAGACTAATATTTTAAGACAAAGGAACTCTTTT